TGGCTCGACACGGTGCGAAAGGATACCGAAAACCTTGGCCTCCGCTCCATCTACGGCGTTTGCCAATGGAAGTCAAACTGGATCATAATATGCACTGATCTTGCCGCAGATAGTCGAGCGTGGGCAGCGGCAATTCGAGATATCCATGAAGCCGGCTTATCCTCTCCCAGGAGTCAGCCGCCGTAAAGTAAAGTAAAGTAAAGTAAGTAGTCGTTTCCAGCGTCATATCTACCACAGCACTGAGAGGCTTGCTTTCCTACACTGAACCCAAGGGTTCCATTAACATCGGACTATATTCCAGTTGTAGCCTTCCATAGGACAATGGAAACGATGTACCGAATAATGACAAGGAAGGAGTACTCATTATTCTCTGACCATCCATCGTTTCTGGTAGTGACGGTCTTTCCTCGATAATCGTTCCGGGATATGCATTGTCTAAACCAGTGGGCCAGTTTATCGAAATTTTTTTTTGGGTGTTGGTGGTGATGGTCATCTGAGCAACAACCTTGTGGTTCTGAGTGATAATCTTGCTACCGACACCCAGCACACTTGTCTTTGTATTTTCCCGAAAAGTCTTTTGATTGGTCACAGCCCCCCCTCGAAATACCGCATTCTTGTACTTCTTAGGAACGAAGCTAAAGAAATGTTTGTACTGATCGCTTCACGTTGGTTTATAGCAGATTGAATGACTTATCTTTCTGTCGTCATTTTTCTTCAATTGTATGTAAATAAAATGACACCCTTTCCTTGCTTACATATCCTAGTTACAATTATTGTAACCATGGACTGCCTTGAGAGATTCCAGTACCATATTAAGTAAAATGTACTGGTTGAAAAGGATACAATGTTGTCAACGTAACTACAGTATAGCCGTAATGGTTTCATGCTGTCACACAATTGGTTGTTTTTTAATTCAGTAGCAAAAAATGCCTGCTAGTACTTGACCCAACAGTGGTCCTTTCGCTGCATCATCTCTCTGTCTGTAGACTTCTTCATTCTATAAACATTAAAAGCTACATGTTCGTCGCATCAGAAGCTCTTTCAGGATTGTTGCTTGCTTCGATGTACTTACTGAAACCTTTCCCTTGTTCAATAACCAAACCTTCCTGATCAATATCTGCTGTTTACCAATTATCCATCTTGCTAGCAGTTTCTATAGCGTCATTAGGCGGTGGTGGTGCAGTAGTTTAGTTGCTGTCACCGGCGTGCCTTAAACCTTATGGTCCGAGGTTCGAGCCTCGCCATCCAACTTTGGTGGTAGATAGCTTTACTGTCGTCCGGTTCAGTACCATATCTAGCACCTAACATAACGAAGCCTTATGTGGTTCGCCACTCCAAGTCCCGGGGCTTAGGTTACCGGTTCCATCATTGAACAGCGGTTCCTCGTGATCACGGGGCTTTCCCCGCCTGCTGTTTATCACACTAAGATGTGGTATACAAAGTACATCTACTTGTCACCAGTGGCAAAGTCAACTTCCTATTGATTTTTATAAGTCTTCATCGATTCGTCCATGACCTTGTGAGCAATGTCTTTCTTTCGACCTCAGCCAAATGACTGATCAGCTGGAAAATCCACTAATCATCATTCACTAATCATTGCGATAACTGAACGATCCTAGCACTGATCCGTTACGGTCTTATGCCATAATCGTTTTTTTCTTTCCAGGTTGTGGCAAGAGAAGCTTGGCAGAACCATTTGGCCCGTAACGACTCTGTTATTGTGGAACTATTCCACGGTCAATTAAAGTCAACTGTGGTCTGTCCGACGTGTCATTACAAATCGATTACGTTCGATCCGTTTGCCTCGCTTAATTTGCCACTCCCCGATCCGCTCCGATACACACGAGTTGTCTATTTATGGCCATGGTTGCCTCGATCCGATGGTGAGATTGGACCTATTCGAATGGAACTGAGCGTGCCGGCCGAGTTCTTCGTGCAGGACTTAGTCAACGGTCTACAACAACAGCGGGCACCTCATTCTGGGTGTGAGGTTAGTCTGCTATTCAGGGACCAATTCGACTATGGTCGTTATTTCTCATCATAGTCTTTGTTTATTCAGTAAACGAATACTGTTAATGAGACCCAACCAGGTCCAAACAGCTGTCCAGTGCTTCCCAGCTTTTCAGTTCACGCTTCATTTGCCATATACATGATGAATTCCCATTTGAAATTTAATCAAATCCCCTATTACTCACATGAAATAAGGAAGATGCTGTAGATAGGTCTTTTTAATTATTCTCGTTATAAATTAAGTTTTCTACTTCAGCAAATGCCTGTTCATATATATATATATCGTAATAAGTAGTATATAAATAAATAGAAAAAAATCCCCCATAAAAACACGACCGGCTCTTCACGCCACTGGTGTACCTACCCTTTCATCTCTCTTTAGTGGGTAAAATGTGCAAATGACTGTTTCAGTCATTTAAAAATCTAGTTTGTTTTGTTATGAAACCAGTTACAAGTCTCACACATCCATCGCATTGTTGTCATCTGTCCAATTAAAAAATTTAGTACTACTTGACGGATGTGTACAACCATTCAATCAATCGTCCATGGCATCCGAGGCACGTGATTCGCGATCCGCACGGGCCTTCGGTGTTCGCCTACGAATTGCCCCCAGGTGACCTCATTCCCGTTCGATTCCGCCAACCCAGGTACGTTCGGTGAATAGTAGTCCTAAAGGAGTCAAGAAGTTGTTCATCCATCCTTGTCTTGCATGCGTGTTTAGTTCCCACCGGCCATTAATCAACTTCCCCCACAGTCATTACAGCGTTCTCCGCACCGTTCGGTCGTTGAGGCTAACCAGGAGACTCGGCCAGATTATTATTTTATTATTTTCTTACATCTGAATCCAGACTGTATGCCAAACAAATCATGGTACAATAATCTTTGTGAAAAAGAAAAACGTTCCATGATTTGCATGTAGGCGGAATACTGCCAGGTTGCCCAGGTCAAGGCAGGTGAATTTTCTTGGGAAATCCACAACCGGAACCCTTGGCTAGCCAAATCCTGATCTGCAAGGCAGTGGTGTGGTGTGTGAAAACCGCAATTCGTTGGGTGCCGGTGTCCAGTCTATCGGATCATACGCCCTTTGTACGGAGTCAAACGTCCAAGGTGCCCAATACACCTCGATGCCCCGGTCGAGCTGGTGACCACAACCGCGTAGGTATGTGGTTCTTACGCCTCCTCGTGGTTGGTTTGGAGTCAGGGCTTTTGGCCAAGTCCCCAAGGTGTACTACCAGTGGTCCACCAACCCGGTTATAACCCCGGTTGTCGGCTTTTCGTCGTCTCACTTTGGTGTGTAAACACCTCCACGAGAAGGCAGTGAGTAGGCTTCCTGAACAGGGCCTTTGGTGACGCTTGGTAGTATGAGAGTATTTCGCGAGGTGCAAGCCGCGGGTGACCAGCCACCACCCTACGTCGCATTGCACGAGTCTGGTGGGGTAGCCGGATGAGCAATACTAAGGTTAGGCGTAGAGTTTTAGGCATTCGCGGTCGTCCACTGGAGCAAGTGATCGACCTGCATAGATTACGTTGGTTCGGACATGTGTTACGCATGTCACCAGATAGGTTGCTGCGGCCAGCGATGTTTGCCAAGACTGGTAACGGTTGGAAAAAGACCAAGGGTGGTCAAACTAAGACCTGGCATGAGGGTATGAAGACCGTAACCAGGAGACTAGGTTACATTAGGCTCTCTGGTTGGGGACCTCGGGATGATGGTCACCGATGGTTAGAGACATTGAGTGATGTGTTTGGGTGTCACAAGCAGTGGTGCTCAAGCATCCACTCATTATTCCGCTTTCACTATTATATATGAATTTTCGATCTTCCGCTTAAATTTGCTTTCAACGTTCCTATCTTCATTCTGCTGTTTTATCTGAATGGGGCACCAAAAATTCAGCAACCAAAACCGGCGTACGAAAGTGCATGGTTAATGGTTGTAAACCTGAACTGAACTGAACCCTAGACATCCATCCCCGACCATACGGAGGCTTTTGGAGGCGGCCATATAGACCGCTTTGTGCTTGTGGGTGGGAACCCGGGTGTCGATGTAACCGATGATGGCGAGAAACGGTGAGTGAAATGGCCGAGTATCTCAAACAATGACGCTCGTTGTGAATATTTTGCTCCTGGATTCCATGTTTATCATCGGACTGCATATCACTTCTATCCTATTTGGGAGTAAAGTCAAGTGACAATATTCATAGATCGTTATTCTCGGCTGCGGTTCATGCAACCGAACAGTAGGCTCGCATGATTCCGAGGTTCACCCGGTTCTACGGTTTATCATTCCATGACATGTAGTACAAAAGTCGTTTATTTGCATTTTCACTTGTGGGGGAAATCATTTTCACGGCGAAAAGAGTTGCAGGAGACGAGCAGGAACTGGCAAGTTGATCTGAGCATAGTCTTCTGATCAGCGCGCGATGGACGTATGCCACTCATTTTTCCTGGGAATTTTGAGAAAAATACAATCTTGATTGATGGTATCTCATTGGACACGTTCTCAATGCTTATCTAATCTGCATTGCGTTTTACATGAATTAGGTATGGTTAACGGTCAAAGTTGGCTCCTACTGAATTGTTTTTCTCATTTTATGTCGTAATAATAAGGAGAACAATACTATGATAATTATATTTTACACGCATCTGAGTTCAGACTTGGTCAAACAGATCACCGTACAATAACCTGTCTGACAAAGATAAAGTTCCGTGATCTGGCGGTTGCCGCAGGCCAAAGCTAGTACATTTTCTTGCGGAATTCTCAACCGGAGCTTTTGGTTTGCCAACGCCACGGGACAGTGTTTGAAAACCTTAATCCATTTGGATCGTGTCCCGTTAATCAGAACATACGCCCTTGAGATAGGTCTAAACATTCAAGGTGCCTAGTGCAAGTCGAATTCCCATCAATCCAGTGAACACTGTCACAGTGAGGAAGGTGTGTGCGCTTCGCACGTCCCCTTATGTTCCGTCACCTGAAAGCAGTGAGTATGGCTGCCTCAGCATAGGTTATTTGAGAGAGACTTTGTTATGTAGGCGCGTTCCTCGAGGTGCACCGGTGACCAGTCACGATCCAAAACATCCACTCGAAACCATATTGATCTTTCTCCACGACAATGCTAGCTAATCATAACGTGTTCATGATCATTCAATCATTCAGTTTTGGCTGCACCAACGATTCCTCATTCGGTGGACTCCAGTGAATTCTAAGGAAAACCTGTCGTGGCATTCCGCTTACATGCTACCTGGTGGATATCATACGCCTCTGTAAGTTGGAAGTGTGATTCGCATGTGAAAAGATCAGTGCTGTCGGTGTGGCCTCGTAGCTCAGCTAGTAGAGCGTGCGCCGTACAAAAGTGTAAGCGGCATCCATCCGTGGGTTTGGATCCCACCGAGGTTACTGAAGTTTTCACAATTTCGACATTAGACTTCAATCTGCTAAACAACCATTTTGATTCCTCTATGGTTGTTATTGCGTATATAGGCATACTTTGTATTGAGCTGTTCTGTCGGTCTTGTATGAGTCGTCATTTGCAATTTGCCCTTGTTTTTTTTATCCCCACGTCTTTCATAGTCTTGTGGCATCGACAAAGGTTTTCTGCAATTCCCGGCAAGATGTTTTCCAATATTATTTCTTTATAGCTGTGCTACGCTTCCCCTTTCCCATGTTCATTGAAAGGATTAAAGCAACTTTTCGTTCGTAAACGGAATATTCAATTAAATAAACTACTCATCCTCGGGTTCTAAAAATACGCTTTTTTAGCCTAGCTCACACCATCACCAGTTTTCACAATTATGCAGTTACCTCATATGAGGCTACTTGATATCCTCTGACCCTTCTGTTCCCCCACTTCTGTTTCCACCCACTCCTGTTCACACAGTTCAAACACATCTGGCTGGGTCGGGATTCCATTCTACATTAGCGTGACTCGACGCGACCAAATTATGGATGAAGAGTTCCTAATTCAAGCGGTCAGCTCTCGTCTGCGTGCGATCGGGATTCGTTCGCTTGACCCGAATGACATGATCCAGACAAATGTGAACAGTCTTCCCGGATTGAATGACGCAAAAGCCGGGGATGATCTATTCCCCGGACCCAGTTCCCGAATTCATCAGATCGCAGATGATGATCATCAATCGACATCCGGTCACGGCCTAAACAAATCGGGTCAACTGTCCAACGGAGACGAATGCCCGGTGGGACGATTCCTTGTCGGGCGCGTCTCCCTGTTTGACGGTATTAACCGCAACCTCACCCATGCGTCCGAGACATTGTCCTCATTGGAACCAGGTACGCTTATCAAAACTTTATTTTTTCATTGTTTGCTGTGCATCCTTGACTTGTTCTTTGTCTTTCTCGTCGGTTAAGCTCAGAATACAATAGAGAAATCATCAGCTTCCCCGCCGTCGGTTTGATCTTCTCCAAGTGGCCTTTTTCATCAGAAATACCGTGCCCATGCAGGCTTTGGTGAGGTTTTCCATCTAGTCAATTGCTTTGCCAATCATTTTGACACAACTCATTCCGTACCTGTGTAACTTCTCGCGTGATGAAAGACTGGCCACATCATTACTCGTTTTTCACTACTTGTTCGGACCGAGTCACAAGCATTTTGATTATCCGAATTTATCAAACCCCTTTTTGGAATCGAAAAAGCTGCACCCAGAAATTTACTCAGGTTATTCAAACAGCTCTTTTTTCTCTCACTCACAGGCTTCCATGATGTTCTTGAACTGTGTTCGTATCATGCAAGCGCTGATCAAATGGATTTTATTCTTCCTTGTTCTGCCCATCTTCTGGAATTCAAAATCACTTCGAACTTATTTCGACGGTAATCACAGCATGCTGTATTCAATCATTCCATTTATCTACAATTTTTGTGGCCCCTCATATTTGTCTCCGTGTTGTTTGTTTGGTGTTTGCACCGTCTTTGTGCAATA